GAGTGCGATGGCATGATCTTGGCTCACCGCAACCTTCACCTCCCAGGTTCAAGTGATTCTCCTGCCTCAGCCTCCTGAGTAGCTGGGATTACAGGCATGCGCCACCGTACCTAGCTGCTTTTGTATTTTTAGTAGAGATGCAGTTTCTCTATGTTGGTCAGGCTGGTCTCAAACTCCCAACCTCAGGTGATCCGCCCACCTCAGCCTCCCAAAGTGCTGTGAGCTACGGCGCCTGGCTTAAGTGAGTTACTTTTTTGTGAAACTTCATTGCCCACTGTAAGAATAATAATCCTCAAATTGGTTTGTGAAAGTTACCGAAAACAGCCTCTGAAGCTGTAACAAGGGGAAGGATTGGAGCTCATTGAACTGTTTTTTAAACCTTAGGACTAATCCAGTTTCAGAAACTACTTTCTTCTCAAAAAATGTTTCCCTGTTTTCTGTAAATTTTTTTTTTCTTAATAGAGAAGTGAATTCTGGCTTTTTTTACAAGAGTGCAGAAGAGAGAGAAAAACTTGTAAAAGCTGAAAGAAAATTCATTGAAGATAGAATTAAAAAAATAATAGAACTGAAAAGGAAAGTCTGTGGTGATTCAGACAAAGGATTTGTTGTTATTAATCAAAAGGTGAGAATGAAAATGCAGTGTATAAACTAAGTGTAGTATATGTCATCCTTTTTACTTTTAAGGTGAAAGATGTTGAAACTAATTTTTATTTTTGTTATAGGGAATTGATCCCTTTTCCTTAGATGCTCTTTCAAAAGAAGGCATAGTTGCTCTGCGCAGAGCTAAAAGGAGAAATATGGAGAGGTATGGGTAGCAGATTTATCTGATTAATTTGACTTTTACTCATTTTGCAAGTGATTTGGGATTATTTCTTTTTCCTTATACTTTATTTTCAGGGTTTTCAACTGTACAATTACTTGGCATTAACTATATTCACATTATTGTGCACCCGTCAGCACTGCCCATCTGTAGGACTTTTTCATTATTACAAACTGAAACTGTAAACCCATTAAATAGTTACTTCCTGCAGATGCAGTTGCTGATAAAGAAAAAAAAAAGTTACTCCCCATTTCTCCCTCCCCCTTGTCCCTTGTAAACATTATTTTACTTTTTGTCTCTGAATTCAGTATACTTTCTCCCAAACAGCTCACCACAATAAAAAACTTTTTTTAAAAAATGTATTATTTTTTGAGACAGTCTTCCTCTGTTGTGCAGTGGCATGATCTTGGTTCATTACAACTTCAGCTTCCTGGGTTCATAGGATTCTCATGCCTCAGCCTCCCAAGTCGCTGGGATTACTTGTGTCTGCCACCATGCTTGCTGAATTTTTAAAAATTCTTTTGAGACAGAGTCTCGCTCTGTCGCCCAGGCTGGAGTGCAGTGGCATGATCTCTGCTCCCTGCAGCCTCCACCTCCCGGGTTCATGCAATTCTCCTGCCTCAGCCTCTCGAGTAGCTGGGATTCCAGGTGCACACCACCACATCCAGCTAATTTTTGTATTTTTAGTAGAGACGGGGTTTCACCATGTTGGTCAGGCTGGTCTCGAACTCCTGACCTCGTGATCCACCTACCTTGGCCTCCAAAAGTGCTGATATTACAGGTGTGAGCCACCACGCCCAGCCGTGTTTTGTTTTTTCAGTAGAGATGGGGTTTTGCCATGTTGGCTAGGCTGGTCTCAAACTCCTGGCCTGAAGTGATCCAACCACCTCAGCCTCCCAAAGTGTTGGGATTACAGGCATAAGCCATCATGCTCAGCTAATAAAGAGCTGTTGTTCACCTTTTGATTTCATTTGCTGACTTGGGGGGAGTGATTTAAATGGAGGGTTAAGAGAAAGTGCTAGTTTTCAGCTGGTTGATGGCAAATGGAAAGGCTTAGGTTAAAGTGCATTTTAAAATGTAATTTTGTTTGTAATTCTGAAAAATTTCTTTCTAAAAGTTACTGGTCTTCTCTTTGAATTTCACTGGTAACATCTTTTCACAAATGCTATTTTAGGTTGACTCTTGCTTGTGGTGGGGTAGCCCTGAATTCTTTTGATGACCTAAGTCCTGACTGCTTGGGACATGCAGGCCTTGTATATGAGTATACATTGGTAAGTGTAGTTTCTTCTTGAAGGTAATATAAGTTTTTAGCTCATGAATTATTTTTGTTTTGTTTGTTTATTTGAGGTGGGGTCTTCTTCCTACCTGGGCTGGAGTGCAGTGGAGTGATCACAGCTCACTGCAGCCCTATCTTCCTGGGCTCAAGTGGTCTTCCATCCTCCCGCCTCAGGCTCCTGAGCAAATGGGATCACAGACGTGTGCTACAATGCCTGGCTAATTTTTTTTTGTAATTTTCGTAGAAACAGGGTCATACCGTGTTGCCCAGGCTGGTCTTCACCTTCAGCCTCCCAAAGTGCTGAGATTACAGGCATGAGCCACTATGCCTGGCTGATGAAGTTTTTAGCAGAAAAATTAATTGAAATTCAGGAACAGTTTTTTGTTTATATACATTTTGAAGGTTTATCTATAGTAATGGGAAGTCATTGGTGTGGAAAATCACGTGATTTTGCAAAAAGAGATAATTTGTTTTAATGTGATCAAGTTTGTTCCTTATTATGCTACTTGTCATTCTCTGCAATGGCACAAATCCTGTTTTTGAAAATCATATTTCTTCTACACATAGGGAGAAGAGAAATTCACCTTTATTGAGAAATGTAACAACCCTCGTTCTGTCACATTATTGATCAAAGGACCAAATAAGCACACACTCACTCAGATCAAAGATGCAGTAAGGGATGGCTTGAGGGCTGT